TGCAAAGATTAGAACAAGTTTCAACCAATCTCAGATCCGTTTGCTGCACTAAATTAAAAGCCTGTGACACTTGGAAGGCTTTTGCTGCAGGACAGGCTCAGAAAATGTTACCAAACCTGTAGGCACCACAGATGGCACTGAGTCAGGCTGCCACACCCGAAGGTGTTTGGTTAGCAGCAAGAGGGTGATGTGTTCAAGGACGTCCTTCAGTGACAAACTGGGTGTCACCTGCACTGCTCTGTGCTGACCGGGCTCAGCAGCTGAACACAAGGCTTTAAGAAGTCAGGATGTCACACCCCTGGTTTTTTGACAGGTTGGTCAGGCACCCTATGTTCCTTTACAATAGCCATCAACAAAAGACATGTGACACACCAGTAATAAATGAAGCAGTGTGACCAGAGTGTCACATGCTGTCCATTCTTCCTCAGGTTCAACAGATATGACCTCCTGGTCATGGCTTCTCTTCTCTTCATCCCTATTTAAAGCATCCTCCAAATGCTGTAAGAATGCCAGAAAGAAAGAAGACAGTCTAAGCTTTGAAGACTTCCTTTCCTATATATTTAAATACTTTCCTGGTTTTCTACGTTGTTCCAGAATGGGCGTTTCTTATTAAGTTCAAGGACTGATTGGTTCTACATGACTGAGGTTATATTGTAATGACGTTTATACAATACTGTAATAAAATTTAATTAATTGTTCTTCACCACATCAAAGCCCAAACAGGATGTCAGCAACTGTATATGCTCCAAGAACCCCTTATTTTATTTCAGATGTTGGAGGAGAGGAGGATTCTCGATAAAGAAGGTTTTAGTCCACTTTTTCAGCTCTGTCTTACCCTACTTAATCTCCCGCTTATTGCATTAAATTTGACAGAGCTGCAATCTCTTTTTTAAAATAGATATTATTTTTAAAAATTTGTTAAAATGAGGTATTAGAAAGAGCACTTCAGAGGAAAAGGAGCCAGTTGTGTTGGCACTTCTCAGCCTGTGGTCTATCAACCATCAAAATGTAGCTGAGAAAATGGCAAAGCTTTAAGCATGCATATATCCATGCAAGCAAACAAACAAGAAAATCCACACAAAAAAACCTAAGAACTAAACATCAAAACTTAACCCATTTTTCAGTTGGGAGTGTTTAAAAAGCATTAAAAAGAGCTATGGCAACACACATTAACAGTTTAAAAAAAATTAGACACAAGGAGAAAGTGGGTCAAATTCAACCCTTATCTAAGGAGACAGATGCTAGTGCAGAATAGAGTTTAGTTAAAACTTGAATGGGTACTACTCCATGAGTAACAGAAAGCATCATGAAAAAAGAGTGCAAACCTCTGCATATTATGTGTGCACATGGAAATGCCTCAGAAAAGATGTATCATTTCCTTTACACTTGCAACTGGCTTCTCTGCATCCTGTCTATCAAGTCATATCTTCCACTGTCTTCCCATTACCTGAGAAAGCCTTAACTGCTCTGCTGCAAAGGCCCCTCTACCTGTGTCTGCATAGCTTGGCAGGAATGATCCTTTCTGCATTATTTAAAAACATCTCCTCCAAGACACAGATGGTTCCTGCTGAAAGCTGCACAAAGTTGAATCAGAAGCATCAAGCCCCTCTCTGTCTGACCTTGTGCCCTCCTGGCTGCCCATGCCATCTTTACCTCATGCTCAGGATTTCTCAGCTGGGAAAGGAACAGAGGTTCTCTGCCAGCCCTGCAGTTAATTCAGGCTTTGCTCCACTTCTCTGCCAATTCTGGCCATATTAGCAGCTTTTAGCTGTCTCAACCCACATACCACATTGGCTGCACTACAATAACAGCTTAATTGTCACAGGATAAATGTTCTTGTTTAAGCATCTGAAGCAAGTGCAAACTACTTTGCACGCAAAACCAGGGATGCTCTGGAGCTGTACCCTGGAAGTGCTGGGAACCTTGGTTTTATGTGAGGCACAACAGTACTCTTCTAGTTCTTACAGCAGACTAGGAGCTAGAAATCTGAAAAATCGGACAGCCCTGAGTCACAAACTTCTCAGGTCACAGGGCCACAGGGTCCAAACCCAGCTCTGAGACATCCAGGGTCTCTGGCTCTTGCATTAGGTAAACCTCTAGGCTCTTTCATGAAAGTTTGACAAATTGCGTCTCCCTCTGGAAATCAAATTGGAGGTAAAGTTAAGAACTTTTCTAGGTTTTCAGCAGCACTGTGCTTTGTCTCTCTTTGATTAGAGAAATTTAACTGAAAACAAAAGCATTCTCATGAAAAGAAGTTACTCATCGGCATTACTGAGTATCTTTTGAAAACCTGTGGGCCACTGAAAGTCTTCCCATTGTCTTTTCTTCTCCAATTCAACCTGCAAACAACACGTAAAAATGGCATTACTAAGTTCACAGACCTGAATGGAGAGCAGCAGGTGTGATTGGGCTGATTGGTTTTGCAAGAGCTATTTTTCCTGCCAGTTTTTAACGTTTATCATCATCTCAGTAGTAAAAATAGTTCTTATGATTTACTTCCATAAACTCAGGAGAATAAATGTAGCTATTTTCTTTAACAGGTATTTATTTCAGGACAGCTCAGTGCAACACTTCAGATGAAAGGCAGAACTCCCAAGGAGTGTCAAACCTTCCCTTCTTCAAGAAAAGGGGCTCTATTGTGCTTCCTTGACATCACAGCAAAAAGTCCTGAGTGAACAGGCCACGTAAGCTTAAACCAATCCAAAAAAAGGCTTTCATCACCTTCTGCCTTGCTGTTGTAGGAACTGTCTTGGCCCCCTCTCTCCTCTCCCCCGATCACCCACATTCATCCCAGGAACAGCCTCTAACCCATAGCAATGAAGTACATAAAAACTAAGTGAAAACCAGACTCTTCCTGTAAAAATAAGCACCATTAAGTTCACAAATTGTTTCCATTCAATGATGCCAGGGAAACATTCTGTATCTTTCGCTCGGTCAGGAAAACACACACCAGCTGTTCTGACTTTTATGAAAAATTTACATTGAGCACTTGTCCTGGGGTGACTTTATAGTACTGAATTGTATCCCCATGCATCTGTTTAGCCCAGAAATAAATTTTGCACCTTTAAAAGTAGATCTGAGAGTAAAGTAGGGGAGAAATAGAGCAATAGAATGTCTGAGGCAGCTGTTTTCAAAATATATAGATAAAAGCTTCAGTTTTCCCTCTCTCAGACAGTGCTGTCTGCGGCACGGACGGCAGCAGAGAGCTCTTCTTTGCATTTTAGTTAGTTTTTAGCTAGCTAAGACAGAGAAGTTCCCCAGACCATAATTTTTAGTTTTTTTTCTTTTTCTTAGAACTGTTTAAACCTGCTCTAGACTAAAAACCCAGAAAAACACCAGGACCTCACACCTGTGGCCCACCAAGGCCTGGGACGTGGCATTTTCCAGCACCAGAAAGACCAATAAGAGACTGAGCAAGCTGAGCTACACCCCATGAGAAGGACTTTCTGAACTTACCATCTCATCAGAACAGCAAGTTTTGTTGTTTAATATTATTAATTTCTTATGCTTGTGAATACTTGTTAAATAAACAGGTTTTTCCACTTTTTTCCAAAGAAATCTTTTACCAAACCATTTAAGAGAGGAGCCACTTAAATCTGCTTTCTAGAAGGACCCCATTCAGAAGTTTCCTCCCAAATTTTGCCTTAAACCAAGACAGCACTCAATTTTCTAAGAAGTCTGAATTTCTCCTTGTCACTGACAGCCAAATATACAAACCAGCTCAAAGCCAAAAAATCTCAAAACCACAACCCAGAGGAATCATTCTGCAAAGCAAATCAAAAAGAAACCCAAGTATGGAGCTTCTGATTTGAATGTCTTCTTTAATCAGGCTCCAAAGGATGAATTCAGCAGGGGAAAACAGATTCTGTTGATTTATTTAGTTAGTTATTTTATGTTTCAGCTCAGAGTCAAATTCTCTCAATTTTCAAGTCACTGAAGGTATTTCAGAATGAAACATCGGATACCAGAGACCTCTCAGAAATCCATGTGACTTACCTTACATAATTGATGCACCCTGAGCTAATTGCTTTGAACCAAAAAGTTTCAAGAGGATTTCACTAAGGGTGAAAAGGGCTCCATGCTTACCTTTTGGGTTGGGTTTGTTTCATACAACTTCCTGCACAGGGTGGGGGAAGCACAACATGCATGCATGCAGACATCAGCTCCACAGAAAATGTATTTATGTCCCTTATCAGCTATTTCTGCTTCCACTGACAGTCACTTAACTTAAAATTAGTCTGTTGTTAACTAAAACCATATACTTCTACAACAGCAATAGTGTAGAGGGCCAGAGTCTCAGATTAAAAATTTTTTTTTAATTTTTAAAAATTTATGCAAGCACAAATTCTTAACTAGGAGCATTTTGTTTGTTGGGCTGTACCTTATCAAGTGGCCACTGGAAAAGCAGCAAAAGTAACTCAAGCCTGTGTCATGGAATTAGAAGAGAGCAGTAATATTAGCAAAAGCCTAGCACTATAAATAGAAAATGAGTAGCACAGCTTCTTTTAGGAAGCACTGGCACCCAGAACATTAGAAAGGATAAATAGAGTGAGATCTCTTTTATACACATCTGGACACATATAGCTTTCCTGGTTTCTGCAAACAGTGTTCATCAGAAGTAGAGTTTTTCTCTACGGGCACCTACACATTAATTGGCAACCTCATTTGTTATCCTACTGAAACCATTAACAGCACAATAGTTTTCACACAGCCTTCCAAGCTGTTTTGCTAGATTCATTACTGTTTGAAGTAGTGGGAGATCACCCTTGGTTTTGGCTGAGGCTCCTGGATCTCAGCATTTTCTGTCTGACCCCTAGATTTTACATATTTTATGTATGCAGAAGCCCCCTGATTTCAGCAGAACCATTCAAAGACACAGCTACATCCACAGGCAAGCACTCACAGAATCAGGGCAGTGACCAAACACAATGCTATTCCCTTTATTCTGCTGTTCTCCCAGCATTAAAACCTTATCGGTCTTCTACAACATTACCTCATACCTTGTCTGTCTTTTTTTCTTGTTTTTCCAATATGGCCATGTTTTCTTTCAGAACTTTCACAATCTCAGCAGGATTTTTGTGTGATTTACTAAACAAAGGCATGGTCTTCCTTCACCTGGATTTCTTTCTTCAGGATAGAACTGCCTGAAATCAAACGACAAACAAAAAAAAAAGCTTTTAAGGTTTATAAAAAAACACAATAAAAACACAAAAAGACCTTATGAACAAGAAAAAGTTACACCTCAGGCACCCAGTGGAGCAGTAAAAGTTCTCATGTGTAGTTCTTGCAAGTTCATTGAGGATTGGCAAGCCACCATTAGAACACAGAAAGCAGCTACTCAGCATCTGCACAGGAGCTGGATGCCTCCTGCAGGAAGCTCTGACCTACAGGTCAGCACTCCAGCAGGTCCATGCCTATGTCCAATGTATTTTTGACACTGCACATCTGGCAGGCACAACTAGATTTCACACAGGGGTTTCTGTCAGACTTCACCAGCTCCATCACAGTGCAGAAAACCAACTGTAGATGCCAGCACACTCAAGTACCCTCTGTTTAGAGCATTGCAAATTGGAGTCCCAGCTTCTCTGCCATCTCTCCTTCTTCAGTTGCATTGCTATGTTAGCCTAGGGGACCTTGAGAGGAAGCAGTTTAAGCTATCCCCTAAGTTTGACAGATTTCAAGAAACTGTGGGTCAGATCTCACTCGTGTAGAGCATTGCCTGAGTTAAATAAAGAACAAAGGATCAGGCAAAATATATAAAATATAAATACAAATGTATTCATGCCATTTAAATGACAGACTGGGCATTTTAATGAAAATGGATTGTTTGATTAATTTAAAACATTCTTCTTCTCTGTGGTTAGAAAGGCAAATACCACATCACTGTATTTATATATGAAAGAAACCAAGTAGCTCAGTTTCTGATCTTACAAAGCCTTAGACTGTGAATTCTTATGGGTTTTGCTGAGGGTCCAATACAAAGATCTATTGAAGTCAATGACTGACTACAGAAGGAAATATGTTCTGGTTAGAAGCTCAGAACTGTTCTGGACTGCATTCCAGTTTGTACAATAAAAAAGAGGTAAAAGGAAAACAAAACAAAACAAAAAGAACAAAAGCGAAAAATCATCTCAAGCTTTCTTCTTCCGCAACAAAAGAAAAGCATCACAATTCATCCATACACACAATCGTAAAATTAGTTGTGAAAACATAAAATACACACACAAACCACTTCAATCCCATTATTCTCCAACATTTGCAATTAAAAAAAAAAAGATTCATTCAAGAGGTTTCAAATGAGAGAACTAAACAAGCACAACACACACAGTGTGAAAAAAACCCCAGTGGTCCCAAGGAACCAACTCCTCTCATGCTTTGTTGTTACTATGGGCACACTACAGAGTCCATCAGGAAATATGATCCCATTGGAGCCATACATTCATGTGTTACTAATCCTCAAATAATCTATGGAATTAATACCCAGATTAGGCAGACATTCTTTTGCGACTATAAATAGTAACCATATTAAACAGCCAAGTACAAAATTCAAACTTCAAAAGCAAAATCTATACAGACTTTATCCTAAGACCTTATTAAAAAACATTTCAAAACACTTTTGCAGATTATCTTTACAGAAGGAATTTCTATGACACACAGGAAATATTTTTAAATGTCTTATTTAAACTAAAAGTTCTTTTACAGTGTCCAAAGCAGGTGAGTTTGCATATAGCTTCTCATTAGTTGCTAGGTCAGTTTTACAGGGATATTTTCACATCCAGTGTCTGAAACCTCACCACTTTTGAGTTCTCATTTTCAAGCTCCTCATGGTCCTTTTCAAACTCATTTTTATTTCTCTGGTTTTGGCTACATGACCTTCACTCCTCAGCTGAGCTCCCAGCTGCAGAGTCCTGCTCCCTTGCTCAGAGGTGCAAGTTTTGGCAGGACCAGCCACCAGAGCAGAGTCCCTCCTCAGTCTGACAATGTGCAAGGTTGAAGCCTGGATATGCTAACAATTCACCCTTTGGGACACACTCAGCTACACACAAGCACTGGAAAGAACTGTGATGCCAGTATCATACAGTAAAGTTGTTTAGATGCTGCTAGCAAGCACCAAACACTCTGTAATCCCACATGTGGTGCAAATAGAAGATTAATAATTCACAATATACTTTGAGAAGGACCTGATTCTGCATGTTTTTATTATCCTGAAGGCATGGCATGAGGATGTGATGATGCAAGAGAGAGATAGTCTGAAATCAGGAGCTTAGCAGGCAAGTTGCATTTCAGAAAAGAATTCTTTTCATCCAGGGTGGGGTAGGTATATTCAGATTGCTAAAGTCATCCCTTCATCTTTTCTTCTCAGAAGTCTTCACACAAAGAAAAGCAAAGGGGGAGATAAATTGATTTTTCAAATGAAGTACTCATGAGCTGGAGGTTCTGAGATTTTTAAAAAATTAAGTTCACATTTCTAACTGAAATGCTGATAATAAACTATTATTTCCTCTCAAAAAGTAACTTACATGGCTGTCTAGAGTAATGTGTCTGTATTTAAAATAATCACTAATTTTGCCATAGAACCAGCACTTTTCCACTGCATAGTTCCAGTATCACCAACAAGTCACCACAGCACTGCTCAGTGATAAAAAAAATTTTTCCACTACATACCCTACCAGCATCTTAATCACAACAGCAAAAACACCAATAATAGGGCAGGAAGGGACTCAAGAAACAGTTTAATTCATTGCTCTGTTGAACAGAGCCAAGTCTCTGCATTACTTCATTAGATAAAAAGTCTTATATACAAAGCAAAGCCTCTGCTATATGCAAGTGGAGGGGGGCAGAGAGAAAAGGGAGAAGAGCCACAGACATGCATGAAATAACATTTTTGGATTTATGTCTTCTCAGGATACAGTTTTTAACCTGGCAAAAGATGGCCCATCACTTCAGAAATACTGGCAGCTGCAGAAACGTTTGGTTCCCCATGCAGGAATCTTCTAGTGGGACACGTGCTGCTCACAATTGCAGGCAGAAGCACATGGGGGTAAAGTCACTCTGCTGAGATTTGGGACTTGCATTCCTTAGTCTTATGTCTGGCCATCCCATAAGGCAAGTGGCAAAAACAAGGACTACTCTCCTCCAGCTTTGCTCTGCATGACTGGAGTTTCCAGAATCAAAGAAAGCACAAGCTCTTATTAAAGAAGCTTTTATCACAGCTGGACATTTCTGTCCTGTCCTCCTCCTTGTATCAGTTCTCTGCTCTCTAAGCTTTTTCTTGGAAGGTCTTCTGTGCAGTGGAGGCATTAATTTGGTTTAGAGGCCCTATTCTTTACATCACTTATTTTCAGTATGTTTTTTGGAACTTATTTTTTTTTCCAGGTATCAAGTCCTCTGCCAAGGTTGCTTGAAATTTCACAGTAAGTTCAAAAGTTACCATGAGAAGAGAATTAGGATAAGAAATGGACAGTGTGACTACATTTTCTCAAGAAACCAGCCTAAAAATAACTGAAAAAACAAAGATGAATGACAACTGAAAAGAGTGCAACACAGGCTCACCAAAGGTAGCTCATACTACAATCCCTTATAAATATATTTTAAACAGAAAAAACACAGTAGAATCTATGTATTTTACATGGAAATGCACTGATTTGAATATAGTACCAAAAAATAGTTGAAGAAGAAAATTATTATATCATCTGACTGAGAAGGGAAGAGCAATCTGTGAATGGGATCATATTTAGAGAGGCATAGGAATTAAGAGCCTATCCAAAAATTGTGGTGACTGAAAATAGAAAGATACTATCAACATATAACTGGACTGGAATATTACTACCTGGAAAACTGGATGGAGTCAAGATAATAAAAATGGGATAAAAGTTAAAAGCAGAAAGTATCAGATAATGCTGAATGGTAGACGAGATACAGTTTGTAGATGTTCCAGATCCCTGGAAACATTCAAGATCAGATTGGACAGGATTCTGGGCAACCTGATCTAGTTGAACACATTCATGGTAGGGGGAATTGGACTAGATGACCTTTAAAGGTTCTTTCCAATGCAAACCATTCTATGAATATTGGCTTCAAGCTGAGGACTTACCATGAGAAATGATGAAAATAAGCAGCTGGTGACATACACAAACACACAAGTATTTTACAGATGTGACAAAGATGCAAAGTCTGTGATGAACCACAAAAATAATGGTCAATAGAAATCCAAAGGTATTTATGTGTTGATATACCTTCATACAGAACACTACATAGTCCTGAACACCCAGAGTTAAGTAAAATGAACAGAGGTTAGAGTGGGTGGAGAGAAGTGCACTGGATGGCCAGAAAAATGGGAAGACCAGCGTGTCTTGGAGGCTAAAAATGCCCACCTTCCTAAGTTTAGAATAAAAATACAGGAAAGCTGAAAAAGTTATTTCAGCTTAAATAACAATAACGCTTTATTTATGCAGAAGCAAAGGGCTATAAACTGCTGATGAATAAACTTCAGCTTGAAATGTAAAGGTTTCCACCCATTGGAGCTTTGAGGTTTTGAAATGACCTACTCTACAGGCACACTACAGAGCATCTGTTCATAAATTTTTGACACTGCTGTCTGGCAGCAAGGGACAGGACTGAATGAACCCCTTTGTTTCCCACTTTCTAGGAAAACTTTTTCCATCTAATGGTGATTCAATATATGTTTTCATAACATCAAAAATGGATTGTGGACACTCCTGAATTCATAATGGGGAACCAGCCAACTTGTGAAACGTAAAGTTTTGATGATGTTATTTCACTGGTGCTCTTGAGAGGAGCTTATGAGACCAAGGAAAGAAACAGCTGTATCTCACCAGACCAACTCTACTGGTCTCAGAGGTTGTCTCTCCCAGTCAAGAGGAAAATGCCTCAGGAGTGCTGTAGGAGGAAATGAAGCCTCCTAAAGCTGCTACTCCCATTAGCCTGAACATGACATTTCAGACACCAGAATTGGAGTGTCCAGCACATTTTAGAAACTCTACTTTTACAAAAATATTTTCATGGAATATCATTCCATCTTTGGGAGAAAAAAATGGCACTGATTTTATATTAGATAAACCATAGAAACACCAAAAGGAAACATTAAAGAACCACTTTCGAGATGTCAGCCTGTTTCTGTTCAAGTCAGAAGAAAAGGAAAAAAATACGACATGGACTAAAGCAGTGAATTGAATCCAGAGCTGGATGTGGTTTACAAGACATGAGTTTTAGGGTATTCAGTAGCCTGTCAAAGTTAACGTCTCTTCATATTCAGGGCATACAGTGTCTTAGAGGTCTCCAACTCTACACACATTTAAACAAGATGGAAAACATGATTTCAAAAAACCTGCCTATTTTTTATTCTATCTTCTCTGCAAAGGGAGGAAGCTGAAACAAAGAGAGGTTTTAAGATTTACCCAAGGCCACATAAAAAAAACAGTGGCTGTGTCAGGAATGCAACCTAGATCATCTGACAACAAAGCCGACACTTTATCAGGCTTCAAAAGATCTTTTCTGCCAGTTTATCTGCTCATAAAGAGAATGTACTAAAAAAAAAATTTAGCACAGCTATAAGGTTCAGAAAGAGATCTAGTTCTGATTGTAGGCACTCTCCACAATTTCTTTGCTTTTAAGTCATATACTTCCTCAAAATATGATAGTGCAACTGAACTTGTAAGCACAATGGAAGAAAAATTCACACAGCAACACCACTCTGCTCAGCAGCCCATCCCACTATGAAGTGACTCATGAACGCCTTATGAAGGAAGGCAGCTCAGTAACAAAGGCATCTTCCTGCCCACGAAAGCAAGAATGGAAGAGAGCACGTGAGCCCATCCATGCACTCTTTGCAGATGCTCCTCTGGACAAAACATATGGTCTTCAAAAAAAAAGAACAAAAAATTTTCCTCCCCATGGAGTATCAGGCATTTGTCTTGTCTCAGTTCCCAACCTTCATCAAGTTATTGATCAGAATCAAAACATTTTAATAACTCAATTGTGTAAGAGTTTCTGGAATGCAAAAAAAGACCTTTCCCTTCCCTTTTCCTTCCCTTTCCCTTTCACTGCAGTGTGTCTATGACCCATATATTTGGCCCTGAGTTAGCACACGTTCTTCATCGTTTTGTCTAATTCAGTCTCCACATAATGGAAGAGGTCCTCATTTCTCCCTCCTGCATATTTTGGGAAGCTGTTGCAATGACAGAGCAATGTACTCAAGCCAGGAGATGGAAACCCCCATGTGTGATGAGCACCCAGAGAAGCCCAGTTTGTCCTTTCGCCCTCCCCAGTGCAGCCCCCTCACACAACCCACATTTTATTGGATTTGCAGAAGGAATCGAGGCTATGGAACAAGTAACTTGTCTGCAAATTCTCAATGAGTTGCAGATTTTGGGAGGTGCACTGCAAATGAGATAAAAGATTAACAGAAGATGGGACAGTTTTATGGTTAGGGTGAATGAATGCCATCTCTTCTTGGCAACTTAATTTTTCCAAAACCTCAAGAATTTACTCATCATAAGCTTTGGTGTTGGCCACTTGTTGCATTACATGAAATGAAGATGGATATTAGCTGAGACTTCACCTGAACACACAAAACATCACAGTAATGCCTACCATCACCACAAACGTCACTTCTTTTAGTAGATGGCAAGCATCCTGAAGATCAGACAGGAGAAAGAAATAGGCAGCTCTGCCCTTAATCTGATCACCTCTACAGAATGACAATAATAGCATCACACAGTTGTTCAACACTGTTATGAAACTGAAGGCACTCATGGTGATGCTCCTCTCAAGTGCTGTGGTGTAGCTCTATGGAAGCACTTAAAGAAATTATTAACGCTTTTTAACTGAGCACTTGAAGGCCACTTTAATAAAAAACAAAATAAAAAAAAAACATATGTACAGTCTTTCAGCAAAAGAGGGGATAAAATGAAATACCAAAAGCAATCTGGTCACTGAGGCAATCTATTTTGATAGATCTTTGTTCTATGATGGTGACACTCTGCTCCACATGCATTCACATCCCTACAGACTCTGTGGGAGCCATTCAGCTGTTGCAGGGACACATGGTGAGCCAGGTCAGGGAAGTGACCCAGGTTAACAAAAAATAGCCTGCTGGGGAAAAAAAGATCACACAGGTTTCCAGTCCAGTTCTGCCCCGATACAATCTAGAGCTGTACCAGCACTACAGGGGAAGAAGGGGATGGAAGGAGGGTACAGAGACAGGGCTGCTGGAGCAGATGTTACAGCTCAGATATTCACTAGCCAAACCCTGGATGAGGTCGTGATGATCATAAAGGGGGTATAAATGTGTGGTAACACAAACAAAATACTAAACATAGAATAGTTTGTGTTGGAAGGAATCATAAATATCATCTGGTTCCAAGCCTCCTGCCATGGGAAGAGACACCTTCCACTAGACCAGGTTGCACAGAGCCCCATCCAAACTAGCCTTGAACACTGCCAGGGATGCACAACTTCTCTGGGCATCCTGTGCCAGTCTCACCACCCTGGCCATAAAAAATTTCCTTTTAATATCTAATCTAAATCTATCATGAGTAGGGTACAGAGAACAGAATTGAAGTTAAGGGCATTTTAAGTGTTTGACTTTGCTACCTTGTGTCCTTCTATTGGAAGTCCTGTGTTTTGCCATCCATCATTATTATTGTTATTATTATTATTATTAATAATAATAAATAATAATGCTAATAATAATAACAACAATAATTTGTTTCAAAGCAACATTTGCACACTGCAATGCCAAGTAACATTCAGATTCTCACCCACGAAGAAGTGGCATCCTGTGGCACCATACTCACACCATCATCATTTATCTGTATCACAGGATCACACAGGTTCTCCCAATCATGCTCATGAACTAGCTAGAAGTGGTAGGTTATTGCTTCATGTTCAACAAAACTAGAAATACATAAAAACAGAGGTTTTACAGCCACCAAATTTGCAGGACTGATGAGTCAAGAATATTTGGGATCCCAATTTGCATTTGCTACCACAGAGGTCTTTAAAACCTAAAAGATTAAGAATTAAATTCCATGTCTAACTGTAGTCCATAGCAAAACTCCCACAAACTCAGTCATGCAGAAAGAGCTCTCTTAACTAATGTTTCTGAAGTACACACAGTTCTAGAAGAGCCCTTAACAGCTTTTCATTTACTTAAGTAAAAGGGAAACCAAATTAAAGATCCATTTCTAGTAGGAATAGTAACTGTAGAAATAATGGAAACTGGTAACATAATTTAAATAACACAGGCAGCAGCCAAGAGGGAATAGGACTTCCTCTAAATCCAATAGTGAGGAATATGGAGACTATTTTTGCATTAGGTCCAATATTACTAAACTTACCTCTCTACATAGCATTCATTTGATCAAGTTCGTAGCAAGTCTGCTGTGTTACTTTCAATAGCTTCGTAATGGATTAAAATAATTTTCTATAGCAGTAATTCCACTTTACTCCTAATATTAGCCCAAGAAACAGCCTTTTCTTTTAAGAAAAACCCCAACTTCCCTTAAGCTCCATTAAAGTTTTGCCTGATAAAGACTTCATGGATCGCCTATGGCACAGAATCAGCATTTCTAGTGGACAAGACCTGTCGCTGCGGAGGAGGAGCTGGGTCATTTACATTCGCTGTTCCTTGTGGCACTTCACCCGCACGCTCATCTTCCCTTCATCTCCTTCCCCCTGGCTTATGCAAGTGGCCACGCTCTCATTCCTCTGCATCCCGAGAGCCAGTCCGCAGCTGCAGGCAGCCCGCGGAGAGGAGCAGGAGAAATGATATATTGCAGATATTTTATTTTTGGAAACCACACTGTAAATAAAGCCATTTCCAGAGATATTCCATGGACACGGAGTGCTTGGTCGCAGAGCCAGCGCCTTATGTAACAGGAGGAGTATTGTTTAGGGTTGCCTGCATTAAAGAGCCACTCCTGGTAACACAGTTTACAAAGCTATAAAAAGCTACCAGCGTAACTATCGAGAACGAGCGGGCAAGCGGTTAATTACCAAAAGGCTGGTACTAACTGGAAAAAATGAAAAGTTTCATTAAATCACTCAACTTTCCGTCCCTCGGAGGACATCACCTCGGCTGACACTTACTGTGAGCGCAAAGGTGGGGGCTCCTAGGCAGCCCGGCGCAGCCCCATGGCCAGGTGCTGAAGACAGCTCTGCCGCCTCCCCGCAGCCCGCGCCGCCAGCAGCCGCCTTCACTGATCTTCCATTTAATTCCGCTTTATTCCCCGCCGCCGAGCACCGACAAGTGGCCGAGACCTGGGATCCCGCGATTCGGCCTCCCGCTCTTCTCCTGCCGAGCGGCCGTCAGCCTCTGGAAAAGCGTGAGCAGAAAGGATCACTTGGACATGCACAGGCGCTCACAAGCAGCTGTAAATTTCCACTCCCGCTGCCTGCGGCTGGACTCCCGGCTCCTCGCTGTTCCTGCTCCGACGAGCTCTGTGCCTGGGTGTGCGTTTTCCCCCCACTGCCCTCCCCGCTTCCCACTCCCTCTCTCGTCTTGCTCACAGGCTCTCACACACACCCCCCAAACTCCACGTCAGAGGAACGCGCGGAAAAGCAAAGGATGAAGTGATCACTCCTCCGAGAGATTTCCCCAGGGTTAAGGGAGGACATGCGACAATTTCGCATCACTTCTGTAAGTTTCCATTCCTCTCCAAAGTCTGTCGGTGCAGGGGGAGGCATCGCTGACGGGTCCTCGCACGATCACGTGGCGTAGGCTGCTGGAATTAAATTATTCACCTTGCCGTCCTGCTAGGAATGCAAATAAGGGAGCTCAACAGCGGGTTGTTGTTACAAGATAATAATAAAATCAACATGCTCACGCACCACATCTTTCAGCAAAGTCCTGTCCAGAAAAGCTGAAGTTAAGCTGCTTCCTGCCTGACTATATATTACTACACAAAGATCCAAATACTTTTCCACAATAATACTAGAGGGAATAAAAAAAAAAAACCCCGACTTGCAGTATACTCTGAGCAAAATTTAAATCTTGACGAAGGAAAACATTAGCCCAAAGTGTTTTTTCAAAGGCTAATGTGATGGGGAAAAAATCATAAAGTATTCTGAAGCAAGTACTACCAGCTATTATCAAGCGTACAAATACATCAAAATGTAATTAAAGGAATTTTTAGTGCTTCACTTTTCTCTCTCAGCAACTATTGTTTGGCAAGCGCCACACATTCCCAAAGGGAATGGCAAGTGCTGTCCCCTCTGCCCCCCAGCTGTTGAGAGCAGGGAAAGAAGGATACAAGGTGGGATTTAAAATGTATCCTCATCTGGATCTTGGCCAAGTCCCAGCAGGGATGTATGCCCAGCTTGTCTTTCCACCAAACTCCCCAGCTTGGGGGGAAAACTTTACCTCCCATGGCTTCTTCCTCAGGGCATAGTGTAGCCAAAGTCCTACATTATTAAAAAATTTGGTATGCTACATTTGCTTGGGGAGCTGATCTCAGAGTTAGCAGTGCTACAGTTGCATCAGATCCTGATTTAAGGCTCACCTGCAGTAGCTATTCACAGCTCGACATTAAAGGCAGCCAAAAATGCATGAGAAACCTCATTTCTGAGGAATACAGATGAAATAGACACCTTTTAAAGGGCTACCAGCCTTTGCTTGCAATGTCAGCTCTGAACTGAAGCACACAGGGGTGTCCCAAATCCTCACTTTGAAGAGCCACTCGCCTGTCTCTCCTGGGCTCAGAGAGGCAGAAGCCATCCCTGTTCCCTTAACCCCCCTGCATTTGCTCCTGCCTTTGCATGGGAGGTACCAAGCCAACCTTAGATCAGCAGATTTGTACTCTCAGCTTATCTGTAAAGTGCGTCACCATTTCTGCTCACACTTTACCTTAGAGATCATCAAGATATTGCAGTGCTGTGGTTTTGGACTGCCCTGAACAGCACTGAGAACAGGCATTCATTAGTGCTGCTCCCGCTGCACCAGCAAGCACTGCAACAAGTGACACCAAGTGGCAATTTCTGCTCCAAACCCCTTGTGAAATATTCTTCCAGCACTGAATTAAAGGCTTCACATTAGCCACCGCTGACCAGGTTTCCCCTCCAGGCCACCTCCACGGGGAGCTCAGGAAGGGACATGGTGGATGCCAAGCTCTGAACGGGATGAGCCACCCTTCGAGGCAGCCTCCTTCTCCACGAAGCTTAGGAGGCACTGAACAACCTGCACAGATGTGCCGTGGCATGAAGGGCTTGGGGGGAAAAACTGGCACTGAGCACCTTTTTGTGGGTGCCCTGCTCTGTCCCAGCTGAGTAGGGAGAGGGAAGGAGTGCTGGGCCTTGTGGTACCCTACACTCATTCTGGTGTTCACCCTTTCTTTGTAATCTTTATAAACCTTGGCCTTTGGGTAAACAGTGAAAGTCAAATGATAAACATTCTGCCCTTGGGCTACTTCTGAAGGCACTGGTTTTTCCTAAGGCAACACAACAATTGAGGTCCATCACTGTTTCCACTGTGCGTTTTTAAGAGGAAAATTTTTCCTCTACCTGTCCCAAGAGAAATTGTATCTTTTCTATTGCAAATCCACCATCACTTCAACAGGTAAAACCACAACTTTTTATTGTACCATGGAGTTCAACAGTGGTAGGTGTTACCCTGAAATCAAACTATCACAAAAGAAGATTGATGGTATCACACTATCACAAAAAAAACCTGTTTTAGTTGACATAAGGGGCCCCAGCAGGGATAATTTGTATCACTGAGCTCCATAAAGTATTCACAGACCACTCTGAGTATCCTGGCTCTTTGGAAGTATATAAAATTTATCTACAAAGTAACTATCCTCTGTTTCAGACTAAATAAGCTTGTTTTCCTGATTCAGAGCAACAATTGAATTTGCACTCAATTACAGTTCAACTTTGCCTATTTCTACCTGAGGAAATATTTTAGGGCTTTAATAAGAGCCCTTAACACAGCAGGAGAGCAAGAAACCCACCTGTGTCTATCCCTGCATTGCAGCAGAAGAAACTGTGCAAAACAAGGTAGCTAAAGGGGCAGGGGACAAAAGGATTCTCTGCTATTCCAATACTCTGTTTCATCTTAGTAGAGTTAATTCTCAGATGACAGGAAAAGGCCCTGAACCATTCAATAGGAATTAAGCCATAATTACTTGGTGCTCTTATCTGAGGTTTGTTGAGGGTTTTTATTTGTTGCCAAGAGGTTATTAAATATTTTTAAAAAATATATTTTCTTCAATTCTTAATTTGTAACCATCTAAAATCCAGAATAATATAATTATAAATAGACAAAAAATCTTTACAGCCTCAAAGTACATGGACAAAAAAATCTCTGTGCTGCTAAAGTACTCCAGCTTCCACATATTTAAATTTCATTATATTTGTTTCCTTTAAAGAGAGCAGAGTCCTCGGGCTAAGGCATGGTTAAAGTACTTTTGAGAAATGTTTGTCCTTGCTTTCATAACTTAAAATCATTCCATCTAATAAAGACCAAAGGAAGAAAACCCCAGTTGATTTTTCCTGCCCGTTTCATTTATTTTCTAATGTGGAAAAGAGAAATTACGGAACTTCAACAATGAGTGAAATTGCAATAAATTACAGCAGCAGATGATAAACACACGGCGTATATATATTAATTCTGCTTATTTAATCATCCACTTCCAGTCTGTCTACCTCCTCCAAGATTACTTCCAGCATTCCAAAGCCCTAAGCAGCCTCTAATAATAATAATAACAACAACGACATCCTTCCTTCCCCCCAAATTGTTCAAATGCCCCAGACCATCAAAATTCAGTTCTCCACAGCAACAGGTTTAGTTGTGTAATGCTGAATATCAAGAGGAGAATCTTTAGCATACTAAAAAGATTTCCCCACCCTCCAAAACCTGAAAACTAAAGAACAACCCCCACAGGATTTCATGCTATTCTTAACAAATCCCAAGATATCAACATTTTGGCAGTTTATTGGGGTGGAGGGGAACTGAAAACAAGTAACTTATATAATCTACATCGTAAAGCTGTTACACTTTAACTCAAAGCATTTAGCTTTATGGCAGAGCAATATAAAAAGTGCCCAACAACACTTCTAAAACCTCATAAAATAAGATGCTTCACAGTAACTTCATACTTCTGTGTTATTCTGCGAGTTCACAAATACTCAGCTTCTTCAGACCCTGCAAGAGCAGTGTAGCCACTTCAGATTAATGCAAATAAATTCTTCTTCATCTAGTAGATCCCAAATACAGACATACTCACATGTTTTCTCCAAGTAATCTCAGAGGGAGACAAGCTTGGAACTGAGCCTGCGTATGAGTCCCCCCAAAACCAAAAGGCAATAGACTTTTGGCTGCTCATCCAAATACAAAAGAAGGCAAAAAAAAGGGGTACAGTCTACGGAGGGGCAGGTGGTTTCCCCTACAGCCATGTAAAAAGCAGCAAAGCTTCTGGCCTCTTTCAGGACTAGAAAGTTGAAATTTCTTCAGTGCAATGTAGAAAACAGAGAGCAGCAAGATGCAGTGGCTGACCTGTAGCTGCATTTTAGCTGAAGTGAGTGGAAGGATTTAAATGGATGCTTTACATAAGCTACTCCTAAAAATGCAGACATGTCTTCAATGATTATTTTCCCCTCCTCTTCCTCCTAGCTCCCTCTAGCGCTTTTAAGTACATATGGCCTTTTCCTTCCTGACTTATTTAATGCAAATACAGTTGCTAAGATGATGTTTGGTTTAGTTGGGGTTTTGGAGGTTTTTAAGATCTGCAATAGCGCTTATAAACTGCTCATGAGTTTTTACTGAATGTGTTATTCATGTGTGCAATCACTCCAGAAAACAAGCATTGACATTGGCCTTTCTACCAGAAACTTTTGTGTATTAATACTTTATGTACTGGCCAGTGCATTTAAAAGTTTAATCATTTTAAATTCATCCAGCTCCATCATTAGAGAATGTCAACTAAAATTAATCTCTTTCCTTGAGCATTCCCACTTCCAAGTGAATTGTGTCTAAACAGAAGGTTATTACAGCCTAACAGCTGAAAAATATAACATATTAAAATTTTATGTCTGCCCTAAAGTCACTTATAAAATGTTAATTGTGCCCCTTATCTACTGTGTCCCAACATAAAACATAAATAAGAACCATATCTGCACTCCCACTTTTATGAGTGGAGGAACAGTAAACTCATGACAGCATCATGCTTTTTACCTGCAGACTCATGCAAACAGAAACTAGGCCCCAAAATCAGTGTCTGCCTGAAGAGCCAAGCAGGTATTTTAAAAATAATTAAAGCTTTCACCTCTTCAAACTGCTTCTATCCCAGTCAATCACCTTCGTGGCCATGTTTGTTTGCTTCTTTAAGGTCCATTCACAGAATTAAAAATGGGAAGAGGAAAGACCATTTCAAGAGATGCAACAAAAAGAGATTTGCTGAAGACCTAAAACCCCTCATCACATGTTTGCTTCTATTACAGCACACTAA